AAAAGAAAAGAAAAAGAAAGCTGAGACAAACAGACGCTAAAAGACAAAGACACAGACAAATCAGTCATTGAGCTGAGATCGAAAGCCAGTTCTCTCAATCTCTGCAACAGGCCTCTTTTCACACCACACTATCTCCATTTTTTTAGAACCTGCTTCTATTAAACTGCTGATTATCTATTCAATTTATTTCAAGGAATAGTTATAACAAATCTGTTTGGGTCATTGTAATATTTAATTTATTAACGACTTTAAAGTGCTAGTCATAGGAAATTGTGTTTTCATTTAATTAATTTCTAAACCTCTATTGTCTTTCCAGGTACCACTGCTTTGTATTTGTTCCTGGTTATGCATCCTTCCATCCTTAGTAACTCCCCCAGCCCAAAAACCTTTGAGGAGGTACAGTTCTTTAATAGAAATAACTACCACAGGGGGATTGATTGGTAAGATGGGTTATTAGTATAAATCTAAAAGTATATGTACTGTGTACAGTATAAACTTAGCACTAATATTTAGAAACATGTAAGTTTGTAGTCACAAATAAAAGTTAACCTCTGCGCCTTGGAAATTGATTGAATATCATAAAGGAGGTCAGAAATTTTTCAGAACAAACTCTTCTAAGTTTATAAAGGGATTTGTTTCCCCAAGAGGATCATATATAATTTCAATTGGTATTAATTTTATTTGATGGTAACTACAGATATTAAGTCAGAATAATAGCATAATATTCAGAAATTTCATTCCTCTCTACTTGTAAGGAAAAAAAATTTTCATATATTTTTCTTCTTGTGCACTTTTAAGTGATGCTATAGCCAATATATGTAATATTAAGTGACGCTATAGCCAATATATGTAATTTTCTATCTTCTTTGGCACATAAATAAAAACAAATAAAACTAGAAATGTTTGTATATTACATGAATAATCAAAGCCATAAAAAACCTATCAATACACAAGAATTAATTTTTGCCTTTGAATGAAATTAGAAATATGTCAACCATCTGAAGAAAACACTTAAAAAGTAAAAATAACAGAATACACAAAATACAGTCATGTAGTAGAGCTAGATGGTACAAACTAACGTGTTCATCATAAAGTGTATCTAAAGGTCTTGCTATGAAGATACGCTGGACAGAGAGTGGTATAAAGGAGTGAATTATAATAATTCTACAGCATAAATATATTTTGCATGTATTTTAGCATAGTCATATATAGTAACCTCTGTTGTTAAATTGCATGATCTCAATTTTAAAATTATCAACCCCTGAAGAGCTGCTTGTGAATAGTCCAAATGAAAAGAAAAAGAAATGGATTGAGCATAATTTGAGCACCTACTAGGATTTACATATATTCTAATTGTTATATATTTCACTACCAACTTTTCAGTTCAGGGTATGATATTAATTGTGTTGTATTAAATAACAGCTGAGAAATCAAGAAACCATCAACAATGGCCAGGCACAGTGGCTCACATCTGTAATCCCAGCATTTTGGGAGGCTAAAGTGGGTGGATCACTTGAAGTCAGGAGTTAGAGACTAGCCTGGGCAACATAGCAAGAACCCATCTCTACCAAAAATACAAAAATTAGACAGGCATGATGGTGTGCACCTGTGGTCTCAGCTAACTTGAGAGGCTGAGAAGGGAGGATTACCTGAGCCCAGGGAGGTTGAGCCTGCAGTGAGCTGTGACTACAGCACTGCACTCCAACCTGAGCAACAGAGTGAGTCACTGTCTCAAAAAAAAGAAAAAGAAGAGAAAGAAACCATCAGTACTTCAGCTGTATTTGGCCACTGATTCAAATATGTATGCCAGTATATAATTACAGAATAAAATGATGTTAACATCAGGACTAAAAGGACTGAATAAAAACTCCTTTGGAGGTGGACAGGAATGTATTAGCATTACATTCCTGTCAATACTTGGATTGTCTAGGACTTTTTATCAAAAAACATTTTTGAAAAATTCATGGTAAAAGATTTTTACAAGTTATTAATTTTTTACCATAAATGTTTTATAAATATGTTTTGATCATCATGTGGATGGGTACTCTAATAAGAACAAAAATCCTGCCAGGTATGGTGACTCATGCCTGTAATCCCAGCACTTTGGGAGGCTGAGGCGGGCAGATCACCTAAGGTCAGGAGTTCAAAACCAGCCTGGCCAACATGGTGAAATCCTGTCTCTACTAAAAATACAAAAATTAGCTGGACATGGTGGCACATGCCTGTACTCCCAGCTACTCATGAGTCTGAGGCAGGAGAATCACTTGAACCTGGGAGGTGGAGATCGCAGTGAGCCAACATCATGCCACTGCACTCCAGCCAGGGTAACAGAGCAAGACTCCATCTCCGAAAAAAAAAAAAAAAAAAAGAAATAATGAACGCTTGAGGTGACGAATATTCTATAATAAATATAGCCTGACTTGATCATTACACGTTGTATGCCTGTATCAAAATATCACATGTATAAATATCTACAACACAAATATGTACAACTATTATATATGAATTTTTTTCACAGCTCAAGTGATGTGAAAAATGAAGTTTTATATATATTTGAAGTATTATTACGTTTGTAATGATGTGGAGATATTCTCTGTGGTGTAATAATGAAAAACAGAACCCACAATTGTACGTTCAACAAGGGCTAAATTGTATAAAGCAAAAACAAAGACTAGAAGTCATATGACTGTGTTTGTCTCCAGGTGATGACAGATTCTTTTTTCAATTTTTCTTAAAAGATCTAGATTTATAAATACGATTTTTGAAAAAGTAATACATTCACATGGCTTAAAATTTAAAACTTTTTTCAAATTTTGCAGAAGCTGTGATGATTAAAAACTACAAAACCTGTAAAGGCGTAGAGAGCCCACAGCTGCAGCCAGCAAGGTAGAAAGAAGGCTTTGGGATCCTCAAGGGCGGACGCCGCCTGTTCCTGACTCAGGCACTCAGTCCCAGCAGCTGGCAAGAACCACGGTGACAGAGTGGCGGCAACCAAGCTTCTCCACCTCCACCATTTCCTGGGGCAAAGCACTAGGCTACTCGGAGCTCTGGATAACAGATTTGCATAAAAAATGGGCCTAATGGTCGTATCCACTTCACAGAGCTGGGAGAAGGAAGCGGAGGAAAGACGAGATAACTAAAGCGCTTGGCAGAGCCTGCCATAAACTGAGCTCGCAGGAAACGTCAGCAAGATTGCCATCGCACAACAAGGCCCAGGGCGCTAGGCTACAGGGTCGCTGTCCAACCCTCGCCCCACCATCTCTTCCAGGCCGAGTCCGAGCTCCTGCTTCCGGTCAAGGGGCAGCAGGAACCCGCAGCCCCGCCTCGGGTCCGCTCTAGAGGCCCGCGCCGCCTGGGTTCCGCCCTCAGGTCTGCTCCGGCCCGGTCCCGGCCACGCCCAGCCCCAACCGATTCCTTGCCCAGAGCTCTGAGACCCCCTCATCCTCAGAGATCTGAAGGTCCGGCGTGGGGTGGTGGGCGGCCGCCAGCCACTAACCCCCAGGCCCACGCTCACCATTTCCGACGGATCCGGTAACCCCGCGTAGCCAACACTCAGCCCAGTCCCGTGCCTTTCTGCGCCTGCGCAGAGGTTTCTGGCAAAACGGACAACGCTAGCTGCCTATCAGGAGTCAGGGTGAGGTGGGGGCGGGCGAGCAGACTTTAGCTGCGCCGGGACTCTAAATTTGCTTGACTGTGGGAAAGCGAAAAGCAAAGGAGATGAGCACTAAGCTGCGGAAAATTCCCAACTCCAGCAGTGCAGAAAAGATGCTGGTTCTGGCCAGAAGCGGTGGCTCACGCCTGTAAAACCAGCACTTTTGGAGCCCGAGTCAGAAGGATCGCTTGAGCCCAAGAGTTCAGAACAGCCTCGGCAACATGGCGACACTCCGTCTCTACTAAANAAAGACTCAGTGTCAAACCAAATAACAAATAAATGTGGGGTATTGCAAAAAATTCCATTTTTCAGGTAAAAGAAAATGCTGAAGTTTTATGTTTTATAGAAGTAGAAAAACTTAAGGGAGGCAGGCATTTACTTTTAACCCCCAATTTGTTAAAACACTCCGGTTTGCTCACTAATTTTTTTAATAACCTCAATTTACATTCTCTAAATGTGAGCCTTTTGCAGAGCTTCCAGTTCCCATACTAACAATATGAACCTTTTATTTACTTCTCTATTCATCAAACATCTTTCAAGTGCCTGTAAGTGCTAGCAACTACACTAGAAAAATGCAGCACCAGGCACGGTGGCTCACGCCTGTAATCCCAGCACTTTGAGAGGCCAAGGCAGGCAGATCACAAGGTCAGGAGTTTGAGACCAGCCTAACTAACATGGTGAAACCCTGTATCTACTAAAAATACAAATATTAGCTGGGCGTGGTGGCACACACCTGTAATCCCAGCTACTCAGGAGGCTGAGGCAGGAGAATCACTTGTACCTGGGAGGCAGAAGTTGCAGTGAGCCAAGATCTGGCCACTGTACTACAGCCTGGGAGACAGAGTGAGACTCTGTCTCCAAAAAAAAAAAAGAAAAGAAAAATCCAGACATATAGGCAAACGAGTTGCACCCTGCCCTCTCCATCAGCCCCTGGGGCCTGGCAAAATCAACACATTATAGGTCCAAGATACAGACCTGCTTGAGGATGTTTTCAAAGACTAAACTGTTCCAAATTAAAAGTCTTCTAGGAAGGTGGGACAGGTTTAAGAAGCTAAAATTTCTGCTCTTTTTTGTGATTTTATGAAGCCTTTTCTCGGAACAAGCAAGCTTGAGACAAGCTTGGACCAAATAAGATACCACTAGACACTTTAAATAATCTTAGCACTTCTGAAACCAGTGTGAGCTTCTACATAAGGAGCATCCTGAAATTTGGCACTTTCTGTAAATAGAATGTACACCAGAACAAATAGCACATCAAATCTTCCAGAAATTTTTGTGTATCTCTTTCTCCGTAAAGGGGTGCCAGAATTATGTATCACCAACAAGCCAATTCCAGACAACATAAAAGGATTTTACTGCTCTGAATCTCAAGATACCACTGTGTTGCACCAGCTAAACTTTGCAATGTGTTAACAACTGGAATCCTACCAGAAGCTTTATCATGTTTTAGGATATGATCTCACATTCAAAAATTTATGAACATCTCATGTGATCTTTTAGTCAAAAGAAAACAAGACACTGTAAAAAAATAAAACAGGTCATTGCATGAATGTTAATGACTTTTTGTTCAGTAATTATTGAACTACCTTGTCTTGGTAGCCCAGTGTCATAATGGTTTATGATTGGAAGGGGGTGGCAGTGGAGGCTGAGGCCATTGTCATAAAAATTTAAGAATCCCTAGAAGCTATATTTTTACAGTATCTCTAAAAAAAAAAAGCCCTTTTCCTCTAAAAGATGTTCCTTAGTGCTTCAGAAATATTTCTTGTCGTATGAAGAATTAGTTATATTTGACAACTTTTATTCAGGTGGAACATTAAACAAAATCCTAAATTTCAGTGCTTGACCCTATAGATATCCCTGTGTTGATTCTGCTGGTAATTTGAATTATCTCTACCTATAAGGATATAGAACATGACCTTGGGAAATTTGTTAAGATTTTATATTTGGAATGTACATACTTTTTAAATTTCTCCCATAATTATTCTAAAGAAGAACATAAGTGGCTCTATATGATAAAAATTAAGCAAAAAAGCAGTATTTATACCAGATATGCTCTGCACCTTTGACACTATGTGATTAAATATAACACTGGCACAATACATGGAAAAGAAATTATTTCACTTGCAATAAAGTAAAAAATATCTCCTCTAAATCCTTTTAAAATGCCTGAACTGAACATATCATCTGTTTTAATAAAAATTTTTTTGTTTGAGTACTTGAATTTTTCTCTGTACAGTGTTTCTACAGTCAGACACATTTGATATAGTTAGGCTAATTACTGCTGCAGTTTGATCACTATGTTTCTACATTTTTGTTATCTATTTTTTCCTGATATTAAGCAAAACATAAAGAAAATGTACCTCAAAAAACATCTTCCAAACACATTATTAGTGTTCTGGGTAGTTTTCTCTTGCTAACTATAGAGGACAAATGCTGTAAAGAAAAAGGCTTTTATTTAGGAAACAGATGAATTTGTGGGACACTTTTAACATCTTTGGTCACCAGAATATGAGTATAAACCAGAGTCTTATTTTGAGAAAAATATTCCTTTTCTAGGTATATGGATTTCTTCCCAGTCCCATCTAATGTCACCACTGACTTTTTGTTTGAGAAGAGTGCCAATTACTTCCACTCAGAGGAAGCCCCTAAAAGAGCTGCTTCTCTGGTTCCCAAAGCCAAGATCATCACCATTCTCATTGACCCTTCAGACCGAGCATACTCTTGGTACCAGGTAAGGAAAATGCAAACAGAATCCAACAGGGAGAAGGGGAGTGTGGACAATGGAGCATCATTTTTAGCAATAGCCACTACCTCAGGTTTTCACAAAAGAGATTTGCTAGTTGTTTGATATCTACAGAAAAATGGATACATTTTTCTTAATTTCCATTGAGAAATTTCCCCCATTTTTTGTTCTTATATTAACTTAATCGATTCATTTAATAAACTGTATTAATGCAATAAAAGAAATGAAATTAAAATATAAGAAAATATTTACTTTTTTATATCTCTGCTTCTATATATCTACATTTTAAAGGTAATAATTTAAAATCATTATTTTTTCATCTAATTCATGTGTAATCTATAAAGAGTCAGATAGCAACAATTTCAGTCTTTGTGGGTTATACAGTCTCTGAGGCAATTATGCCATTGTATTTCAAAAGCAGCCATAGACAATATGTAAATGCATAAGCACTGCCATGTTCCAATAAAACTTTACTGAACAGGCAGTAGGCCATAAATTGCTGACCCTAGCTCTAAAAGAGCTTAAATAACTGCTTGTACTAAAGAGACAGCTTAGTGGCAAAGCTAATATAAGAATTTTTAGGCTAGGTATGGTGGCTTATGCCGGGAATCCAAGTACTTTGGAAGGTAGGAAGATTTTTTGAGCCCAGCAGTTCAGGTGGGAGGATTGTTTGAGCCCAAGAGTTCAAGACCAGCCTTAGCATCATAGGCAGACTGTCTCTACAAATAAGAAAAATTACCCAGGCATGGTGGCACATGCCTGTGGTCCCAGCTACTTGGAAGGTTGAAGTGGGAGGATCACCTGAGCCTGGGAAGGTTGGGGCTGCAGTAAGCTGTGACTGCACCATGTACTCCAGCCCAGACAACAGAGGGAGACTGTCTCAAAAAAAAAAAAAAAAAAACGAAAGGAAAAAATTCTTCAACCCTGAGAACCTAACATGTCTTAATGTTTCTTGTATACACATTGCCATTGTTTTCTTAGGTTGGTTAGAACCTTGTACAGAAATGATCACTTTATAGTAATTTAACAAACTCTAGTAGTAAGACGTATATCAAATAGAAAATATATATATATACTTTTAATAAATCATTACAAATAATAGAAAAAAAATCTTTTAAAACTTCTTTCAGTGATATTTTAACCACCAGTTGGAAGGATTCAATAAGCAGCAGTCAAAATTAACATAAGAACATAATAAAATTAATGGAGTCAGTGTCTTTAGTCTCTAGGATCCTTAGTTCTCATTTCTCAGTTTTGTAATTTAAAAAACGCTTTCCTACTATTCATGTGTTTATCCATTCATTAAATAATTTTAATGACTACTGTGTGCAAAGTTTTGTTCTAAGTATGATTTGAAAAATAAATCCAATGCTATACTTGAAATTGATTTCAGCCTAAGTGGAGAAATATGTATAAACAAACATATAAATTAGAAAGTAATAAGTGATGGACATACAGACATATTCAGAACAACAAAGCCACCTGACAAAGACCACCTGGGAAAAGGCAGATTTATTCATGGCTGTCTCAGAGAAGCCCAAATACCAGAACCATGGGGCACATTTTTAAATAAGGGAAAGATATGTAAGGGAAGAAATTTAAGTAAAATTAAAATGAAGTGTTTTCATAAATGCAAAGCAGAGCTATGTAAAGGAGTTATCATCAGGTCAGTACTAAAAAGAAGACTAAGGGTCCTATTTTCTTGGAAACTATAATGTTAAGACAAATGTTCTATGTACAAAAATCCCTATTCTGAAATCTGCAAGTAGGCTGGATGTATGGCTACTTCCCTGTGTTAAAGTGACCCACATGGCTTAGGTCCTCCCTTCCAGAGTAGGATATTCCATTCTCACTAATTTGATTTAAAACAGCTAAATTCTCGGCAATTGTAATGTTAGAGAATAAAGTTCTTAATCACGAAGTCCTTTTGCTGCTTAACAAAAGCAGTTTTTGCAGTTCGCCAGAGAAAGAACAGATTGTTGGGAAAGGTTTTGTGGCAGGAACATAGTGGGAAAAGGTCATAGAAAGCAGAGAAAAACTTAGATAGGCATTTTGATAATAATCTGAGTAATAGGGAGTGGAGACATCCTGGAAAGCTAAAATCCACAATTCTGTACTAATCATTCATGCTAAACCTGAAGCCATCTTTTAAATCAAAACATACAGCAAACTGCAAATTGAGTGATTTGATTTTGCACCTTTTACCTTTTCCGCCAAGTATCTGGAGAAAATAGAAATAAGCCTTAATAGACTCCAAGAGAAAGAAGAAAATTGGAGCTTGGCAACCACTTAGTCCCTGAAAAATGAGGAATTTACAGAAAAAGGCGGCTTTAAGGCTGCAAGCTAACAAAAACGTCCTAAATATTACAAATAAATCACAGTGGCAAAATGCAGGCCTTAACAAAGTCTAGTAGAGTTTGTAGTCCAGTGACTTGAATCTCAATTGCAGAAAATTTGCTATTCAACTAGATGTGGTAAACATCCACAAACTCACCACTAAGCCTGAATATTTATTGGCCAATTTAAAGAAAAGGTGATTTACTCACACCCATGGGCCTCAGCCTGAGCCATTATGAAACACTTTCCTACTTGCATTGCTGCTTTCTGCATTTTCTACACAGTAAATGATTCTGATTTGCCGCAAAGGTTACCATTAGATAAAATAATCTTGGCTTTTAGATACCAGGCAATGTATGATAAAAGCTGTGGATTTCAGATAATGTACATGTCAGACTTTCTACTACTTTCAGCATTTAAAAGAGCCAATAGGCCTTTTCTAATCTAAAACTGCATTACTAGATGGAGCAAAACTATTTGGCAGAACTAGTAGAGTGCTTGTCTATTATGGATATTCACTGGACATAATAAATCATTTGCTTATGAGCTGGAAAGGAAGCATTAACCCAGCTTTCAAAAGTTTACTTTCAGAATAAAATACGTACACTAAGGAAACAAGTCAGTAAAGTTGGTGAAGGAATCCTATCAATAAGAATTCAACTTCTACCAGATAAGTTCTCAAAAATGTACTCCCATAAGTATCAGAACTTTAAATCCTGATGCTCCAAGCAAACATTTTCATGTTATTAATTTCAAAATAAATAACTCTCCAGCAGTGAGGCACTTCTTTCTTTAGCTTTGAGACTTGTAACAAAGATTGTTTTTTAATTATTTATGCCTATGGTTCAGATTAGTTTAATTATCCATCTTTTCATCATAGCATCAGCGATCACATGAAGACCCTGCAGCTCTGAAATTTAGCTTCTACGAAGTGATCTCAGCAGGGCCCCACGCACCCTCGGAGCTCAGAGCCTTGCAGAAGAGATGTTTGGTCCCGGGGTGGTATGCCAGCCACATCGAGAGATGGCTTGTTTATTTCCCCCCATGTCAGGTATGGAGTAATAAGGATTTACATCATATTTGAATCTCATTAAGTTGATGACTTTGCCTTAGGATAAGAAAATTTTCACTCACTAAACTATTACTCGTTTTTCCTCTTTAGTCGTAAATAATGAGGTTGCTGCAAGGAGAAATAGGCAGAAGTAGAAAAACTTTAATTTTCTACGAGTATTTCAGGATAATTCTCCCTGCTCTATTTGCTGTGCATACCTCTCCTGGTTTGTAAAAAGCCTAGAAAGCTTTAGGTCCCTGATTCTTATTCTGAGAATAAAGTTTGAAAGAGAACCTCTTAACCAAATAAGACAAATATTGTGTTGCTTAATTAAGTGCCAATATTTCCCTTCTGAACCATCTTGCTGAATTTTTTATAAGTCCTGTGTTTTTCTCGGCTCCTTGAATTGCATCTGCCTGGGATCAACCTAGATTACAAAATCAGCCCTGCATGGGATTGTGTAAGCAATCCAGTCACATCGGACATGATACATACCTGTGAGTCTAGAACCATGCTGTCCAATATGACAGCCACTACCATGTATGGCTACTTCAATTTATATTAAAATCAAATAAAATGAAAAGTTCAGTTCCTCAGTTGCTGTAGCTACATTTTAAATGCTCAATAGCTACATGTTAGACCCAACATGTCCAAAGTTCTATTGAACAGTGCTAGTCTAGACTAAATAGAAATATCAGAGAAGAGGTATGGATAAACCAGGCCCGCTTTGCAGGCTTTGTGGCCTTTAATCCTGGTCTCCTCTCATCTTGCAGGGTCCACCCTCCTCAGAGCAACAAGCGACTTCTTCTCCTTAGTTTCTTGAAGAACTTTATCCATGTTCAGGTTTTCTGAGAGTCTAACTTCAGTCTCCAAATGGATTATCAACATGTTTCTTCAACCCTTACAGTGCCATTCCTGAAAGGAATTGCGAAGAATGACATGTTCTCTGTCATATTATATCTGAGTTCATTACGACCTTTCTTCTTTTCTACAGGACTCTGCAGCTTGAATGACGAATCATTGCTTTGTCTGTTTTGAAAGTTGGTTTCCCTTTGTGATTTTTTAGTCACATTTCTAAGCTCTCTTGGTCTCTCAGCTGCCTTTTATGTTTTCATAGTGTTTGCAGGACTTCTCAGCTTGCAAACCATGAGTGTACTTAATTGGTGTGATTTATTTCTTAATCCAGGTCATTAACGAGGATGAATGTTTATGTGTCTTTTTTCAATGTGCATTTTTTTATTTCTCTGGTAATTTAGTTGCTAATTATTGATGGGCAACAACTAAGAACTGATCCTGCTACAGTGATGGATGATGTACAGAAGTTTCTAGGAGTCTCGCCTCATTACAATTACTCTGAAGCTTTAACGTAAGTTTATATTCTAATTCATTTATTGAAGTTTCAGCAAAGAACTGATTTCAAAGAAACTGCAGTTTGGTCATACAATTTTCAGGTTTCCTGTTCCTCATATATTGGTTGTTTTTCAATTTGACAGTAACTGCTTAAAAAAAAATATTTCAACAGTGTGACAAAGAAGTGTCCTAAATCCTGTGTTGATTCCTAATTGCACAAAGATTTCCCTGGGAGGAAAGCAGAGAAATAAAACAGGTGTAAATCTTAAAACAAACCACTAATCTTAAAAGAAGTTACCTGAAATAAGTTCGTAAAGCCTGAGCCTATTTAACAGCAATATGGGGCCTCTTGGAAGTATGAACAGGTGAGTAACTAGGTAGTTTAGGAACTGATTCTTCTCTCATTTATGTAATTTTCAGAAACAATATCATGCAGCAGAAAATAGTCCATAGGCAATTGAATAAGCAGAGAGAGATGTACTATTATTGCTCCTAAACATACATCCTTTTTTTTAATTTTTTTGCATCTTTGTCTTTATCCACTATTCATCTGACCCTGTCACCTCTCCTTCAGAGGCCTCAGCAGTTAAAGCACTGGTTTGATTTTTCTGTTCATTTGCATGATTTTTTGCTGGTTTCCTCTGATTTTCCTAGGTAACTGACTCTATAAGGTCCATGACTGGGGGCCAGTAAGGCACTAGGATTTAAGAAGGCAGTCACTCTCAGAGGTGTACACATGCCTAAGACTTAGTGCCTTCTTATATTTGTGTCCTAGGTGCCTCTCTTACCTCACCCTAGGCTCTGGGCCTCACTTAGCATTTTTTTAAATTTATTTTTATTTTTTTTTAGAGGGAGTCTTGCACTATCACCTGGGCTGGAATGCAGTGGCACAATCTCGGCTCACTGCAATCTCCGCCTCCCAGGTTCAAGCAATTCTCCTGCCTCAGCCTCCCAAGTAGGTGGGATTACAGGCACCCACCACCATGCCTAATTTTTTTTTTTGTATTTTTAATAGAGATGAGGTTTCACTGTGTTGGCTAGGCTGGTCTCAAACTCCTGACCTCATGATCCTCCCACCTTGGCCTCTCAAAGTGCTGGGATTGTAGACATGAGCCACCGCACCCAGCCCACTTAGCATTTTTGAAGAAGACCTCTATCTTTCTCTGTCTTTTTAAAATGGTTGGCAATCAGATTTAGGAGAATTATACTCGTTCCTACCCCACATGTGTAGGGCAACTGGAAGATAGTGAGTTGGATTGAGTCATGGACCTGACTCACACTATAAGTTGCTTTTTTTTTGTTTTGTTTTTTTTAATTACCTTAGACTCACAGACTAAGCCTTAAAGAAACTGGAAAAGATGATTATGGTATTCTTCCATTTATTTTTCAGTATAAAATTCAGTTCCACAGATCAAGTAGTTTTCCCTTTTTTAGTACTCTTTAATATCAATTTAGAAAGTGAGAGGTAGGTTTCCTTCACCTTTCATCAACCTTTGCAGAAAAAAAAAAAAATGAGATAAGCAGAAAAACATCAAATACTGCTTTTATGTTCTACAAACCAAATATCGAGTCATGTAAGGAGGCATTTTGGTTTAGAGGACAAAGGAGTAAGTAGAACTCTGCAGTTTTGAGCTTCCTTCCTAGGAGACATTTATGCTTTGCTGTTATTATTAACCTTCTGACCTCTGTGTTTTCTATACTATGAGTACTGTCAGAGTTTTGTGGCACTTAGTTCAAGTACTAACACAGACATTGGTCTTAGGTATTTAACATTCAGCTTGACCTTAAAGAAAGCTGAGTGATTGCAGATTGCACTTAAAAATTCAAGACCATTTTCTGTCTTATATATTTTTAAGTATCTGTTAGAAAAGAAAGGTTTTATTTTCTAAACAGTTTTCTATTTCAAGTTAGGTTATCTTTGGGTCTTTTTTATGGAGTTTGTAGCAAAGCACTGAATTTCAGAAAAAAAGAAGTACAGTATTCTATAAAGACAGAGTTGCTTTTTCTTATGGAATGGTCCTTGACCTGCATGCTGTGTATTTGTCCCCTCTGCAGCCAGCTCAGCAGCAAGCTTTTTATTCATCTCCACTGCTAAGAAAAGGCAGTGTGAACTTAAGAGAGTATCAAAGCAACTATATACAAAGAAGTGTGGGTCCATTTGCACCTGGGCTGTATCTAGCTAAAATTACCGATTATATGATTCTCTAACCTGGTGGGGTCTCAGTGGATGAAGTAGCAACATAAGATACGTGTAGTCCCTGAAACCACAGTTTCTGGTGCAGCAGTGCTACCCAGGCTCTCACCCTACGGATAGAGATAATGTGCTTTCATTCAGTTTCTTTTCATATTTTTTGTCAGTCATCAGTTGGCCTGACACACCTTGTAAAACCCGGCAGTGCACTAGTTGCAGAATATTTGGAAGTTTCGTGTCATTGTCTTAGGTCTAAATTGATTATCCTTCACCCTATGCCCTTTGCAGCTGTTTATCTGAAACCTGTCTTCACAATTTAGTTACTCCTGTTAGAGTAACTGTACTGATAGCTGTTTCTGTAGTGCTTTGGAAATATTGACAATGACCAGAGGTACAAAATATATATCCTCAGAAATGCCATTTATACCAGTTGGCAAAAGATCCTTTGTACACTTTGGTATTGCTCTTTAATTTCCTGCTGGTGATAATGAAGATTATTTTATTGGTGCTTAAAAAAAAATTCTCATTGGAAGTCCTCCAAGGATATAGTAAGCTGCAAACCAATATGAATTCTCATCTAACTACATAAATCTAGTGTTTTGCTCATAGACTAAATGAATAAAACAAGGTCTATACAAATGTTTTACTATGCAATCTTGGCATGAAGGAGTACTCCAACTTAAGAGATCTTTAAAGTTATTATCTTCCTGATAGCAAATTCCAGCATGAAAACTATTTTCAAGAGGAATCACAATAAGCCCCCATTGTCAAGATTGTTGTTTATTCTTTCCCACAAGTGTTAAAGAAGGGGTTCAAGACTTCCAAAGACATACAAAAGTCACTGAAGAATCTGTGATGCCTTAAAATTACTTAGTACTGTCAATATGGGTGTTAAATGACATATTTAATGTTAAATGATCTGATTTTCTCAGTGATTGTGGGTGTGAATGAAATAAGCAAAATAAGCTTTAAAAATATAAATAATAAATTTCTCATTCAATCAAATAAAGTATAATCTACAACTCTTGTTCCACATACCCTTAATCCCTAAATGGGATTGATATACTGATATTAGTTTTTGTGTTACGTGTTATATAGTGTTTTGAAGCAATCATTTGAAATAAGACAGAAAAAAAGCTTAGCATGAAACTGTGCTAATTTGTATGCACTAAAATGAAAAAATATGAACTTTTAGCTTTGCCATTAATATATCTATTCAATTATACCTAGCCATCAATTCTAGGTATGATTTCTAAACAGATGTCTTCATGTTTAGAAATATTAATTAGCTAAATACCTGAACCTGGCATCTTTATGTCTCAGTTAACTTGTCAAGATGAATGAAACCAGACTATGTTATATAAATTTTTAGTACTGATTTACTTTGAAACATCAATAAATGGGCAATGAGAATTTGAAAGCCAGTGGTTTAGTATAGCTGTTTGTTTTGTTGATAAAGCTTAGGCTAAGTCATGAAGGACTGAAGCCGCTTCAAGATTCAGAAGAACTTCAGTGGCTTTTAATATAATTTCCTTGGCAACCAAATTTATATTGCCCAGGAATTGTTTTCCTACCCACTATAGATAAATGTGAGTACCAATTACTATATTAAAACTTTCTTTTTAGCATATTATAGTAGCCATAGTAACTAAAATCTGTTGGTTCTCTGGATGTCATGAAAGAATACCTAGAAATGCTAAGTAGGGAAAAGAAAAAAAAAAGTCTAATTTCTTATGATAAATTAAGTGATTTTAACAGTTCAAAATAAATATACATTAGCATGTTCTGTATATATACATATGTATCTCTTCATAAAAAATACTATGTGATAGGTAGAATTAGCTCACTTTTTGCAGATAAAAAAAACCAGGGCACAGGAAAGTTAAGCCAAAAGTCACTCATCAAGTAAGTTGAGGAGGCAGGATTGAAATTCAATCAGTTATCCTGGGAACCTACACCACCAACCTGTTAATCTCTTCATATTGGCACGGGATGTTAGAACCACAGAAAAACAATACTGTGAATTTTTACTAGTGAATAGCATATTAACAGGAAGTACTTCCTTAAAAAAAAAAAAAGACCAGAACCTTTAAATGAACTATATAAGTTGTCTCAGACTTTATTATGAATAAAATCCATCTTCAGATGCACTGAATGTCACTTTTCTTCGTAAATATGTGATCATAAAGATATGCAAATTAAAATAACATTGAAATACCAGTACATACCCATTAGCATGGCTATAATCCAAATACAATACCAATTTCTGTATTAGTCCCTTCTCACGCTACTATGAAGAAACACCCGAGACTAGCTAATTTATAAAGGAAAGAGGTGTAGGCCGGGCAGGGTGGCCCACGCCTATAATCCCAGCATTTTGGGAGGCCGCGTTAGGTGGGTCACCTGAGGTAAGAAGTTTATGAAACTAGCCTGGCCAACATGGTGAAACCTCATCTCTACTAAAAACTCAAAAAATTAGCCAGCATGGTGGCAGGCGCCTGTAGTCCCAGCTACTTAGAAGGCTGAGGCAGGAGAATCACTTGAACTGGGAGGTGGAGGTTACAGTGAGCCAATATCACACCATTGCACTCTAGCCTGGGCAACAAGAGCAAAACTACGGGAAAAAAAAAAAAAAAAAATGGAAGCAGGAGGAAGGGAAGGAAGAAAGAGAGAAAGAGAGGGAGACGGGAAGAAAGGGAGAAAGAGAGGGAGACGGAAAGAAAGAGGAAAAGAGAGGGAGAGAGAGAAAGAGAGAAAGAAAGCAAGCAAGAAAGAAAAAGAGGTTTAATTGACTCACAGTTTCACATGGCTAGGGTGGCCTCGGGA